GATATAATACTGAAATTACTCGAAACTGGCTCAGCATCTTGTAAATTGTTATCATCGAACGTTTTTATTAATTACACAGGGACTGTATACACAAATTTTGCACTCAATATTCAACTTCTTCTAAATCAAATTCATCCTTTTGTTTTGGAGTACGTGATCTTGTTGGTCATGTAGGTACATACTCCATTTTTTCTACCATCATATTTTCCAACGATTCGTCAAAGAACTTTTTTCAAAAATCAAATTATATGTATAAACATTCGCTAGAAGTGATTAACAACACACTTGCCATTGTTGCTGCCAACAAATTGTCAATTATTATATGGACAAATATATGAAATTAGCAATCAGTTGCACAGTTTTCATACTATACTCGTACACAATTATAAATTTCATGTACATTTTTGTATTGCATACAGTAAAATTTATAGTATCTTAACAATAAACTTACATTCAATTTTAATTTTACGTTATACAATTTTGGTTGTGACTATATAAAATAAGCATTGTAAAATAAAATTTACAAGAAGGCAATGAGGTTGAGTCGATGATTCTAAACTTAGTCTCAAAATTATGAGACACACTGTAATGGTAGAAATGGTTCGTGCACCTCTGTATGGAGAAATCTTGCGTGGTAAATTTGTATTATCTAACCCCAGTGCGTATCGACTGACATCGAAAAGTGATTTCGCGAGTATGTAGGCCTCCATGTTTCAGAAATAAGGTCACATACTCTCGTCGAGTGTTGCTGGTTTATACTGTCGACGAAGGACTTTCGGATCGGGCAGGATGCGGGTCTAGAGAGGATCATTTTATTTATGGTACGTTCACGCGAATGACTTGCGTACAACGTCTCGGGCTTAATGGACCGTGAGAGAGTCGATGGTGCCTCCCATTCGAGGGAATCGTCGACTTCGAACACGTTTCCTGGCATCGAGATCGTCGGCTGAATGGGTGTGCACAGTTTCCCGGTGGACGGACTCCCGAAAACGAGTCTCCTCGACCAGAAAACACGATTCACACCCCGTCTTACGCCCCAAACAGATGTTTCGTTGGAAACTGGAAGAACCGAGCGCGCAGAAGCGCGGTGGAGTTGTTCCTTTGTGCCGGTGAAATTAACGCAACGTCTGGACGCCCGAAAACATTGTTGCTTACGCTTGTTTCACCGGTCGTGACGATGATTCACGCGTTTCGTAATCCTCTTCGTGGAAAATCTCACGATGCGCCATTTGTAATAGTCTCTGGTAACTGACCCTGAAACTGGCGTGATTCACCGTTGCAAAAATGCTGCCAGCCAAGTGGTTCGGAACTGACAGTCGAAAGAGATTAGAAAACTCGTTCCAGAGACGAACGTTCCACGGACGCTTTCGTTTTTCATTTTCACGCGGGTGAAACGCGCCGTTTTTCACCGCGACCACGCCGCACTGTGACGGATCTGGCCGAACAAAAGCTAACTTGACGACCGTTACAGAATTCCTATGTTTTTATTGCGAGTTATTAAATCGGAGAACTGTGGAGAACACACCCATAAACGCGTTTCATGAACCTTCTTATTGGATCGGTTTTACAAGCTGACGAACTTTTAACTTTCCCATTATATAGAATGTTGTGTTTTAGAGTCTATTCGTAAGACATCTTTCTCTTTAAATGTCGCATATTTTTTCTTGAAGCGTGCATTTTTTAAATCTGTACAAAAACATTCATTAATGTTGCTCTAAATGTGCGATTTCGATTCACTATGCATGCTTGTGGTGGTAATTATTCCACTCTGTCTCTACAATTAGTCCCTTGGTTGTTCTGAGTAGGAAATTTGGACCTTTTCGGCCAATAATAAACGACGAAAGAAATAAAATTTGTCAAACAAATGAAATGCCATTTTCCTACAGCGACGATTAGCTGGACGATAGGGACGATCGAACTCATCGAAATTCGCGACACTTTCGCGATAAGGACACGACAGGACACGATAAAACAAAAAACAAAAAACCCACGGGTTTCTCGACGCACGCGAAACACCGTAATCCCGATAGTTCTTCCAGGCTGTCACGTATGTCACGATCGACTTGTTAGGTTCGCGTGTCACCGCGTGCTGCATATTTTGCGCGGGTAATTTATGCAAGCGCCGCGTGCCGATTTCCAGGCCCCGGATCGACGAACCGAGGAGAACGAGTGCTATGAATTTATGTTGCTGATTTTTAAATCGCACTTTCTCGGTGCTACCAACAAGCCTCAACGTCGAAGAGTTCTGATCACAGCTTCTTCTCTGGTTCTAGAGATTCTATAAATCGTAAATTGGAAAGGTTCCAAAAATAAGAGTTAATAGCTGTTACACAAAACTTTCGACCAAAAACCTGACCTGATAATCTAAAAAACTATTATCTTCACGAGGAGGTGTCCAAGTACTTGAAAATATAAGACGAATCAAGCTTTCAAGTCTTTCACAACCACTTGTTTCGTACTTCTAAATGCTTTCAACCCTAAATTAACATTCGACGAAACTACAGCGAGGCACAAATATTCAATACAAATCTCCTACAATAATATCTTAAAGTTTTATCGCGATTAATGATAACGGTATTTTCATGCAACTTTGGAATTTTGAAAAGTAACATTGTTAAATAAGTAACTACGGTAATAAATAGAATTCTTTCTTAACAATTTATCTATGTATATGATTTTATATAGTGTCTTACAATATGATCGCGTGAAGTGTAACAGGAAACATAACGAGAAAGCAAACGCGGCTGTCGCCGGTTCCTGATAGCACTGTTAACAGCTATGACAGGCAGGGTAAATGGGGAATACAGAGTTATCTGAATGGTGCACGTCGGTTAAGCAATTGTGTCCATGTGCCCTAGTCTGTGTCCCGACACTGAAAAAGCTGTGCCATTGAACGTGTGCCTCCGCGGCTCTATATTTAGCGAGGTCGATCGATGCGAATATGGAAATGATCCGTGGCTATTCGTGGACCATCAGCTGGTTTCCGTGGAAACCAGTCGGGGGCGTGTGTCGTAGGTCGCTACGTGACGAGCACGCAACCCATGGAGTCCATCTGTGCGTACAAACATGCCGGAGGAATGCAGGTGAAAGACCCCAAGGCAGCCCCTCTACGCCAATTTACTGGACGTGCGTTATCGGACCTTGGAATCCCAGGAATTCCGGTCGATCGTGTCCTTCCGATAGTAAGCTCCAACTGCTAACGTCCTTCGTGGCTTCGACTTTGATAACGAATTCCTCGAGTGCGGTAATGGACATGTTTGGCGACGACTCGCGATGACACAACGCGGCTGACTCGTGCTTGATAGTCGAGATAAGAGAGTTTCGCCGTGAACAAGATTTCGAGGGTTCGTAACAAACGTTCAACACCTATACACAGACCTGGTCAACAACGGCAAACGCATCACGATTGCCTGGGTCCCCATCCCATCAGGGAATCAAGGGCAACGACGAAGCTGACATTGCAGCCAAAGAAGCAACACTGCTCCCATCAGATGGAACCCCAAGACAAATCCCATATCAAGACCATGATCTTGCAATAAATCATGCCTCAAAAGAAGAATGGAACACACTATGGAACTTGTCCAAAAAAAACAAAAACGCACGAAATAACAAGATTTTTGTCAACCATCACCCACCAATAACGTGAAGAAAAACAGTTGTTCAAAATGTTAATTTCTGCAACATATTCAAAAATCATCGAAATCGATGAGATCCCCCCTTTTCTAAATAATTACCAATCATTCTGTTATATTTGTATTGTAGTACGTTTCTCTTACTTCTATTGGAATTTTTGATTATTATTGGAAGTTTATTATCAACAACTAAAATGATTGCAGTCAGCACTGATAGAAAACCGGTCTAATTTGCTTAACAGAAAACGTGTTTTTGTCCATCAAGATAATGCTCGACCACATGTAGCAAATTAAACGGTTGAAAAGATTGATGAATTTGGTTAGGAAAGAATGATTCATGCTCGTTAATCCCTACACACGACTGCATAAGATTATTACTTACTCCAGTAATTTGCAAAACGATTTCGCTGGAAAGGAGCTCAGAAATGTTGAAACGGTCACCTTGTGTATGATCGATCCTTTCAAACAAAGAAATATTTTCAAAAACTTGGTAATAATTTTTATTATTTTCTTCGTTTCGGGGAAATTTGAACAGCTATAATTAAAGTTAAACTAAAGTTCAAGTTGCCTTAAATTAACAGCTTGAAAGATACTGCGGTACTAAATGTAAATCACACTAAAAAACGCAAATATTTTCAAAAAACGTATGTATTATTTTTTACAACAAATTGGAAAATTCAGTAAAGGCGATGGTGTTAAAATAGACCATAGTTCTTTTTATTTTTATTCGCTACTGGATAGTGTGGAACGCCGTGAAATTGGAAGACTCCATGAAAGCCACACCCCCTCTTTCCAGAGTGGAGTAGAAATACTGACATCTATTTCTACTTTAGGACCGGGCTAAAATAGTCACGAATGCCCGTCGTGGACGACACGTGGGCGTATTTAGGTGCCCTTTTCAGTGGTAATTGATCGAGAGAATAGAGACGGGCTAAAGGGAGACTGCAAGCTGTCCGTGATGTCGAGACCATCTTCCACTCCTACGCGGTACGGTGGAATGACGTCAATCTCTTGACTAACCGGGCTTACGGCTTATCTGTTCCCGTTCAGATCGAACGTAGAAACTTATTATGAAATTCGTCGTGGGGTTAGGAGCTGCTCAAAGCCGTTGCCAAGGGAACAGAAGCTGCAAGACCACGGGTCAAAAGCAAATGTCACACGACCGTACGATGTAAAGTTGCTTAAACGACGACGTCGTTGCGGATAAATTATGCACAATGTCGACGGGGTACTTTTAATTAGATACGATTGAGGCTAAAGGTCATTGCGCATATCCTCAATTACTACGGGTCCGATCAATAATTCGTATCAACGAATCGCTAGGTCTGATTGATCCTCGTTAGACCCCTAATTTTGCGTTTGTTTCAGGCGAGCTGTACGTGGAGGACCTAGGAGAGAGGCGGATCGTTTCCATCAGAATGGGTTGGCTGTGGGTTGAGGGTACTCCGATGAGGTTGCCACTGAGGGCGTTGAACCTGCGTCAGGCAGCACCCAGCCTCTGTCAACCTCATGCATTGGCGCTTGGTTTCATGCTGAGCAACTCGCAGGACCACACTCTTGCCACATTTTGGGTAATTGGATCATTCTGACACGATTATTCCTTACACAGAATGAAATATGCCCGACTTCGGCGCATACAGCCTACTTTCTACGACGATACACAATTGGAGACAGTTACGGAAAAGTCGCGGTTTGTTAGAAGTGCAATCTGTTAATCTTTTAACTGGGGAACTAGTCAACAGCGAATTCTCTACGCGTCCCGACAGATGTATCGTAACTAGTTAACGCATCATGCCCGCAGTAAACACGGAAACACTATTTGTATTCCACGCGGTTATTGAACAGTAAGGATTTACGTAAAAAGAAGAAAAGACTGTCTCTTCATTTTCATTCGTCGTTTGCAATTGGATTATTAGATTAATAGATGGTTCTGTAAATAAAAAAGATAGAGAAAAATTTTAATGAGAGATTCTAGAGGCCAAATTAGGACGAAAATCAAGAATACCAATTTGTTGATTGAGGTTTCGTAACTGGACAAATGATATTGGTATTAATATTTCAAAATTTTAGCAATTGCATGTCCTCCACACATAACTCAATAGCTAGGAAATGCGGACATTTCTTCAAATAACTGTAACTTTGTTGAAGAACATGCTTTTTTAATGAAGCTTCGGTCATTTTGAAAGGAAGTAATCATACTTTCCGATGCTACCAACAATAAATTGCTGACATTATCTTCTGTAAGCTACAGGTCGTTCCAAACGTTAAAAAATCAGCCAACCAAAATAAAATTGGAACAAGGAACAAAAGATAGAAGATTTAGGGCCTAGTATTCTTTCTGTTGCAATCCATAATTTTCGATTCGATTAATTAATTTAACTTAATAAATAAGATATCTTTTTAGAATTAATAAATTGTGGTCTTTAAATGCCAGCCGCCGGTTTTTCACAAAGCATTACGTTTCACGTTTCACTGGCCTGACCCTCAAGTTGGAAGGGATAGAAATGTTCAATTTACGAATCACCTGTGGTGCTCATTTTAAGAATCATTACTGTAGAACGACATTAGAGACGCAGGTGGTCATAGTTGGAAACGAGGAGCGAGTCGAAAAGTTAGGATAGGCGAGACGGAATAATTCGCAGCAGCACGCAATGTAATTGCATGTAAATGGCTTTTATCTGCGGCACGATCCGTTCCCTTGCCTGTAAACACTTTCTCGCGCTGATCGGCCTCTAAGAGCTCCCGTTTTGCTTGACGCTGCAACTTCTAATTACGGTCTAGTAGCGTCGCCATTCGATTTCTATCTCGTTATACAATCCCCGGCCATAATCTCAGCCGGTCGGCTCTTGATTCCTAGGCTTCACCAAAAATTTCGATTCGACTGACATTCTCCTTGCTTTGCATAACGAGTCTCGATCGGTGCTCTCGTTGAGAACGTATATCCGTTGACCGTGTTCCATCGAACGTGCAGCCCCGATCGTTCCTCCCCCTTCCGAATTCGTGGAACGAGGACGTCCTGTCGAGAAGTTTGACGCACGGACGGAAGAGCGATCGATAACGTCGCGAGAATTTCGCCAAGGACGACGGATAAGATAAAGATAAAGCCAGAAGGACGCCCGCGGTGACGTAACTCGTATCCGTCCGAGGTACGGAAGGTAATAAGGTCAGTAGGCAAGGTCAAAATCCGCTGCCGCAGTCTCGGCGATAAACCGACGCGTGGGAGATCTGTGCGCCATTCTCCCATGACCCGCCATTGTCAAGGAGTCTCACCATCCTTCTCTCCTGGCGGACGAGTTCCTTCGCCCCGTTGGCTTAGTCACTCAAAGGACGTCCGTGCAATCATCTCGTAACATCTTGATTGAGCGGAGACCGGAGTTGCTTTGGTCGGGACTCGTTCGCGGGGGAGGAAAACTCTCGAGGACGAAAACGTCGTTTCTGAAATTGGTATCCACTTCGACGTGGCGGCTTGTTAAGCAATAAGACCATTTTTATGCGAGACAATAGCGAACGGAGACGTCGCTCGGTGGTTCGAAAGCACACTATTCCGGATAACGATTCCAAACCATCGACATGAAAGCATCAATTTTAATAAAAATTGATACCCCAATGTTTTCTAGGTTGCTGTTTGTGAATCGAAGGTGAAAATTAATGACGAAATTTGGACCCAATATAGAGAATACATTTAATGCATTTAATAAATAACATAGAGAATACATTTACAATTTTAATGAAAATTGATACCCCAATGTTTTCGAGGTTGGTAATTACGAATCGGTGGAAACGAAATTTGGATCCAATATAGAGAATACATTTAATACATTTATAATTATTAACAGCACTGTAGAAGGGTTTTTCTTTGTTTAGGCTGACACGGAACCAATCTACTGGTCGTGGGTCAGAGCAATCGCGGCAGAACTGGTCAGGCAGACGCCGTTCCGAGCCCAGCGTTGCTTGAACTTCCTAGAGATCCTAACCATCTGCCCGAGAGGACCCGTTCCGCTCCCCGACAGCCCCACAGAGTCCAGAAGACGTTCTCGGAGCGAGTTGCGTTGCTGGCCGGGCGATTCCCCGACGGAGAAGGACACCAGGAGCTCGACGACGATACTGGAGGAGTCCAGGAGAAGGGCCAGAAGCGAGTTACGTGGCTGGTCGAGTAGTAACTCGAGCGACGAGGACCTTCTCGGAGAGTTTCGCAGCATACCGACGATAATAACGAAAGAACCGCCGGTGACCAGAGTTTGGGGTTGCAGCGAGAGCAGCGAGGGTAGCGACGACAGCCTCCCTTGGGGCGGCGTGTGTCGTTCGAGCGTGGATTCCGTGGACTCGACGGTGTCTATTCCCGAGCCAGAGACCAGAGAACAAAGAATCCAGAGGTACAAAGAGGCAAGGAGGCGGGAGAACGAGGCCAGAAGCAGGAGAGTATTGGAGGAGGACGCGAGGAAACGGAAAGCAAGGGCCGAAGAGAACAATAACGAAGTCGTGAAGACGTACGGTTCCAGCAGATCGAGGAGCAGGGTCTATTCTGGAAACGACAACGACGACTTTTGTCTGGCGCCGATGAAGAAGGAGCTAGACGGTGCTCGCGACACCTCCAGATTGAGGAACGAGAAGGACGTTATCAGCAGACTACCGCCGGTGAAGCCGAGCGAGTGCTCCACGGTGAGATTCGAGGACGACCATCGCAACGAGGACGATAAGAGGAACAACAACAGCCCCAAGAGCGGTAACACGAGTCCCGGGATACTGAGAACGGATATCAGCGAAAGGAGAAGCAGAGCCAGGGAGAGAAGGAGCACAAGGGAGAAGGGGCAATTGTTACAAACGCAACAGATCACGAGCACCACCGTCGAGACGCTTCAAGAAAGAATGGAACGCCTGGCTCAATTATCGTCCAGGATCCCGATACCCCGTCAACTGACGCAAACCACCGCCAAGCCAGTCGAGAATTGTAACTCGACCTCTCTGCCGAGGTCCTCGACTTCTCTGTTGGTCTTGACTAACCCCCCGCGCGAGGAGGACGTGGCCAGGCTCTTGGAACGATGTCAGAGGGTGGATCACTACGTGCCAGTCAGAGAGAAACTAACGTTGTTCGAGTCACTTTCGAGATTAGGCGGTCGACTGGCCAGGAGCACGGAGGATCTGGGTCGCACGTCGTCGAAACCGAGTCCCAGAGGGAAACAACGCGCCAGATCTCTCCACGATCTGAACAGAGGAGCCAGAGCCGTACCCGTCAGAGAGATGTGCCGATTCTTCGAGGGCGACATCGAGCAAGATCCCAATCAGAAGTCCCCCTCTCTCGTCAAGACGAGATTCAGCGATCCTTTAACGCCCACCAGGAGCCCGTGGAAGGATCCCGCGAGCTCCAAATGCAACGAAGCGCCGTGCATCAGATCGTCGACGAGAAAGAAACATTACTTCAAGTAACGCGACGCGTCGGAAAACGTACTTCGGGTTTCTGTTTCGCGTGAGAAATCGCCGCGCGTTCGAAAGCTGGGCTTTCCGAGTCTCACGGCGGGCTCCGACGCTACGGAGTGTTGCGAAAAACTAGCGGAATACCGAGTAAACTAGGCTTTCGAAGTTGTTTGGGATGTGCTAAAGTTTCCATTGTTTTTACAGGAGGTTTAAAGAAAAAACACGTGCAATTGGAGTCGAGTCTTCTTTGATGACGTTGACAACACCTCTTGGTGGTCATCGATCGTCAATTTCCACGCTTGAATCTCGTTATACGCTTGCTAACGATGTTAAATCTGCAAGTATCGTTGATATTCGTGGCAACTTTTTATGGATAAAAAACACTTTAACAAACGAAAAGATAAATTTCGTTTGAACGGATTCGAAAATAACAGAGTTACGTTGGATATTGACCTTATAAGAATAGACAATTTAATCCTCTTCGTTAAGTGTTTAGGAGGTGAAGGATAAATATCTCTCATTGAGAAGAATCGAGATTTATCAGAGATAGTTACAGTACTTGATTATTATTACTCTAGCATATTTCGTATAGACAATTTTTGTTAATACTTGAATTTTTATTAATATTATATAAAATAATAATTCTTTATTTAACGGGTCGATCCCCCTTTGTATGCACGTAAAAAGAAAAAGATAGATAAAAAGTAACATAGAGTAAAAGAGAGCGGACGTGAAACGAATTCGAAGGTCGCGGGCATTATTCTTAGCTAATAATATAGATCAAGGATATAGTCGTATATTGAAATATTACGAAGCATTCGGACACGTTTAAAAATAACTTATTTCGAATGCGCTAAACCAGCGGAAAAATGACTTACGGAATCGCCTATACTCGAGCGATGGAAACTTTTGCACACCCCTAATATATTATAAGCTGGCTCGAAACACGGTTAATGTTTGTCAGTGATCTAGACTCGAACCAGCTCCTCTGTTGGCCGCAATGAATCGTCACACTCGTGTCGGGAGAAAGTCGCTGCCCGGAGCAGCATTTTTTGCTCTTCAGGATTCAAACTGTGCTCGATTCCCAGCGCGAGTGAAGTTTCGATCGACTGTTAAATATTCGTCGCGACTCGATCTACGCGGAAGGAAAACGGTGAAAAATTTAAAGAACGTCTCGCGCCAATTTCTAATCCGCGATCGTGTAAATTTCTGTTATTTATTGCGTTCGTGCCGTTTTCGTAGATAACACAAAACTCGACGAGACGCTCGAACGCTATCCGATGTCACGAATCGACGGTGTATCGGATCGAGAAATGAAGAGAGAGAGGTAGGATCGAAGAAACCGGTAATTTCCATTCACTCGAGCGATCGCTGGGACGCTCAACACCTGACGAATGCAACTCGAAGACGATCTGCGCGTCTCGATCTTTCTATCTTCGGTCCCTCGGTCGCGTTTCTGCTCTCTGCCTAATTGATAATATCCAAAGAATCGTTGCTTTTTAAATGGAGATTGCGTAGCTAAGTGGTGCAAGAGAAACGAAAATTTCACGTCTCTAAAAAGAGATTGTTTCCTAGTTAAGTTATAAGTGGTTGAATTTTCCGGGCATTTTTAGAGTTCCAAGTTTAAGTCTTCTTTCAGAGCAACGATAACGAATCAAAAATCTTTCATATGACAGAACCAGGAAGATTAAGGCGGAGAACAGGATATTCACATTTGTAAATTCAATTTTTATTTATACTACTATTAATGAGTTAAAAGTATCTAAGAAATGAATGAGATTCTATTGTGTTCACTTTCTACATTAACTGTTATACATGAACGTTCTTATAATTTCCGTCAAAAAAATACTCCACAAATTGGTTCTTCCATCAGCTGTGTAGTATAATACAATTGCCAAAGTATTCAGTTGAAAACAAGTGAAAGCAAAATACAATAAAATTACTATTTCATCTAAAATGTATAAAATATGTGCCATTAACAATATGCAAATGGCGGTAGTTGGGTTTTACAGACTCGAATCTTAATACTTTGACGGCCGCTGTCACGTATACGTGATTTTACTACTTCGTTCACATTCATAATTCCTTATTTATTTTATTTGTTTAAAAGTAATTGATAGTTCATCTAGTTAAATTCAAACAAGTTGACTGAAAATTTCAATTCCTATAAATCATAATTCAAGAATAGTTCACAATGAAAGTTTCTGTGATCAAAGAAATACATGACAAGCTCTGCGATTTATCAAACTATGTGGAGGCAATATTCAAATATTTATAAAATGTTGAATTTAAAAATTTCAGATCATAAAATAATTTCAGCGCCATTTTGTGTTAAGAACATTAACATCGTAAAAAATAGGGAAGAACGAATGAAAATAACTGTCACCTGACCGTCGTTGGATCGTTAATTTGCCATCACTGGTCTAGAAAGGTTAAGAATCGTTGCAAAATCTCGGAATCGATCAAAGAATTGCACCATTTTGCTGCGAAGGGATCTTCGATCGTTAGTTTCGTATATAAATTGATCGATGGTACTTCGTTGTGCGCGTAAAAAGAAGTAAATCCCGTTCGATTTGCTCCTCGTTGCGCGATCGACAGCCGCCATTGTAAATAATTAGTAAAAATGGAGGCGGGTGAAAACGTGGCTGGCTGTCGAAGTTCGAACATCCCGTTTCGATGACTGACGCGTTAAATAATGTCGACTTCCGGTTACCTCTTATCCGGACGATAATTTCCATTTTTGTTTCTCTCCCGTACTCTCTCTCTCTCTCTCTCTCTCGTTGAATCCACGTTTTCTGTTCGAGCTTTCAATTGGGTCGCGCGAACGGTCCTTCAACCGTACAATGCGTCTCGTAACTTCTTGGTCCATGCAAATTAATTACAGTGAAGCTAATTGAAACAGGAGAAGGGAAAGACAACGAACGACGGTCGAGTCGACGGTGTCACGTTTTGTAAGCGGCAAGAAGAAGCAAACTGAGACGACGATGTAATTTACCGAAGTATCGCGTGTCGCGTACACGGAACCCCTCGGAAGCCAAACTGATCAATTCCACGGAGTACGTATAAAAAAAAAACCGATATTACAAACGTAGTTTCAAGACGTTGCTCCGTTAAAATGAATTCGCAAAGAGGAGAGAAAAAAGTAAAATAAAACTGATAAAACTAATAAAATTTAATAACCTAAAATTCGTCAAACTTGATAAAAGCTAATTACAGGTACATATAAATGAAAAATTGAATTTAAAAATCGATAAACTTGCTTCGTCACCCTGGAGTGATCAATTCTCTCTGCAGCTAAAGCACGTTTAATTTCTTTGATTTTCTTTTTTCATGTTTTTTCCAGACTTTGTCCTTTCTCTTTAAAAAATGTTTCCTTCGTATGTATATTCTAGGCATCTTTAGAGAAATAATATGGGGAATAGTCTCATGACATTTCACAATACTTGACAATGGGGTAACTTCCTCGATTTATCTAGACTATCTTATCTCGTGAGTTTACGTTAACTACGCTGTAAATAAAAGATCATGATCAACAGAAAACATGCAAATTCTTACGATAGTTCCTGTGCAACAAAAGGCGTAATTTACACTAGGCAACATTATATTCTGTCCTTTCCTCTAGGTGACATGAAAATCATGAATATCACTATTAACAAGAGACATACATTTAGCAATCTAGCTGCTAGCTATTAGGAAATCAGTGTTACTGCCTACCTATAATTAATTTTCCTACTTTCGCCTCTTCTTTGTGAATTTATTTTACGTTAACGAGCAAAATGATTACGTCGCATTAAATTGTTTCTTAAATTTAAGTTAAAATTCAGTTTGATTCAAGGGATTAATGGTTGTTGTTTGTCGTGGCCTATCGATCGTCGATAGCCTCGAAACGTTGAGTCGTTACCGAGAAAAAAAATTAATGCTAATTAACAAAGTGCCAAAAATGTTACGTTTCTTGCGAAGAAAAAAGGATGAAAGTGTATAGAAAAAAATTAATTAACGAGTAGATTTGTACATATAACTTTTCTTGTTTTAGGGTAAATCGATTGAAATTGAAAAATATATATTTCTGTTTCGTGGTTCGTGTCTCGGTTGTTTGAGATCGCGGAACGATTATTTATTGTACATGTGTAATACGCGTTGTTAATAGTCACGTTTATGTTGGTTCTGTAAGAATCGGTCGATTTCTTGATCGTGAATCGAATGTATAATATAGCGTTCCTTTTCAAATCGCGTACGATGACGATTTTTTTTTTTTTTTTTTGTACAGCGAACTAAATTAATTTAGATAAAAATCGCCTTCGCCGATCAAAGATTTTCGCCTTTTATTTTCGTATTTTCGAAGGTATATATACGCATATGTATAGAGATATATAAAAATTGTGTACGATTGTGTGACAATGTACGAAATGCGATTCAGTGTGCTTTGCGTATAAAACTGTAATCCGACGAAAGTATAATGGAAACAAATATGTATAACGATCGCTAACAGAATGTGTTATTTAAACGACGGCGTAACGACCGAGACTTGTCGATTATCTCCGCTCGAATCGTTGCTCGGATCGACGCGTTTTCACGATGAAATTCGCGAGACACGGGATCGCAAAATTTCTAATCGTTCGACTAATTAATCTCAAGAGAAAACTTTCCCATCGATAACGACCGATTTCTGTTTATTTATTTATACTGAAACATGCAACGATGCAACGGAGTTCGAGAGGACAGTCATCGATCGAAATATCAGGGAGGTCCCAGAAAATATTGCGCAGTTTACTTTGCTACCTGGTTACTGTTAAATCATTCTATCGTTGGAAAACTCTTTTCGAACTAATTAGTTCGAGATGCAACAAAGATCAAAGCTTGGGAACTTTCGTGCCATTATTGGAAACGAAGCTGTAATTGTATATCAAAGACTATAATTCGGCTAGTGTATGGTTAAAAATTTCTTGCCTTTTTCGAGTAAGAAAATTCTTTTTAAAAGAAAGAATGATTGAATGTCTGTAGTTTCTTGCGTGAAAAATAATGGCGTTGCAGGGGGCCCAAAGATCGTCGTGTTAGAAATTATTCGTAGTTGTGGTCCGTGGCGGAGATCGAAGGGGAGGATCTTACGAAAAATCGCGTAAAAATTTTACGATAGTTCTATACTTTCTAACGAACAAAAGAATAGCTTTAATTTGTTTCATCAACGAAGGGGGGCTTGAGCTCTTGTAAGCCCTCCCTTGTATCCGCCACTGGGTTACGATTATCCTTAGCCCTTACGTAGTCGCGCAAGGAGGCAGAAAACTAGATCGACTCTTTTTTAATAAAGTTACAAAAATATTGCATACATTACTTACAGGACGAAGATAACGAAAAACTACTTGTAATGGTACTTGTAATGGGCCATTACAGACCATGGCGCGCCTACTTAAGAGTTAATATAGTAGTTTACGTGATAAATAGTTAAATTAATAAAGTGAAGTTATAAAAGCAGTATTTTCTGGACCACCCTAATGACAAAGACGAGTAAAATTCTAATCTAGTTAAAAGTGTCGAGTATAAAAATTTAAAGGTAAGATCGAATAAAATTTTGCCCGTCTTTGATAGTTGACAAAAGCGTGTCCCTGGCCGACAAGGTTCGATCGCGACGTCGATGCAAGCCGACGACCGTGCACACAGGATGAGTGGAAGAACAACCCCTTGCAGTTCGGATCGTCTTATCTACGGGGCTCCTTGGGCCACACAGACGCATGGAAGAGGTTGACGTACGGTCGTCTGTAAAAATGTGGTAATTCCGAGCGGTCGGACGGGCGAACGTGAGAAGTCATCCGAGCGCAGAGGGTTGCAGTAGCTGGTGAAAAAATGGAAAAATCTCGAGAGGCAGACGTTGTTCTGCGAAAACCCTGTAAAACCGGTCGATCGCCAAAGAGGTCCTCTAGTCCCTCGTCGGAGGAATCCGTAAAGCTACTCCCTGGCCCCGCGTAACGCGACCCCTACCTAATCCCTGCAATACGTGCGATCTGCCTCGGCTGGAAATTCGTACGGGTAACCAGCGGAGCTTTCCACGTCCGTGACCATGCGTAATTATAACAGATCACGAGATATTTGTATTTACGTTTGTTGTAATAAAAAGGAACGAATAATGGCCGTTACATAAAAGTGATTGTCGTTAGAAAGTCGTGTGCCTGGGAGGCCTTGGGCACTTCTCGCACTCGCTGTTTTATACACGAGCCCCATTTCCCCCCTCTGACCACCCTTTCAGCTGTTCACGCTCCTTTATTACTTCGAACGAACGCCCACGCGTGATTTTCCTTCTATATTTCTCTTCCTCTCTCTCTCTCTCTTTGTGACCGACTCGCGTGTACGAGGCACGCGTTCGCGCCGCTAATTAGCGCGCGTTTTCGTAAGATCGCGAACGAAGATTGCGCCCCGACCGCCGCGATGAACTTTAGAAAAGGAGAGGCTTGCGCAACGATGCAGCGCCGTGAAATTATTGTATCGGGAGTGCGCCTCTTTTTCGTCCGTGTTCGCGCGAAAGTGGACCGATTCGATCCCTTTTCTCCAACCAGACCGGACGTTACGAAGTTGGATAAAAATTCGCCGTCAAATAGCTATAGACCATCCCCCAAAGTTGACAAAAAGTAGGAAGAAACTTCAGTTTTGCATGTACAGTAATGTCTACTTATACAGGGTGTTTGGCTACCTCTGTTTTCCATTTTGAATTTTCATTTTACTCGAATTTATTTCCTCGCTTGGTCCACTTTGTCTTAGTTTAATTTATGCTTCTGAAATAATTTTTAGATTATACTGTACCTATACACTGAAACTGACTGTGAATTTTAAATCTCGCTATAGACAGTATTCGCTTTCCTTAATTTTAGTATACAAAGTGTACCCTGTTTTTCTCGTTAATTTCTGAGACCCATTCTTTTTCATCACTCACTTTACGCGAAATTTAAATTAAAAATATATTACCTTGATTCCGTGGATAAGCACATTCTACGCCTCGCAACGAACGCGTTAAGTTTGTGCGTGAACCGTTAAATACAGTCGTACGACCCTAAGGACCGCGCTATTGTTTCTTTCTCACCCTCCTTGAAAGCATTTAACTTTAACGAGTTGTACTTTACAATACCTTCTTAAATACCAGTCGGCTTTCTGTGCATAAAGTAAGCACTCCGCGTAATGATGTTTCCTATGTCATTTTTATATGCACCAGACTCCAGACCACAGAACTTCTGATACAGTCCATAATTTTTTAACAAGGAACTGCATACACCATATACTGAATACCGCGATAAAGCATACGTTGAACCAAATACATTTTTGCTTTCAAGTCAAAAATAATGTAAACGAATCTTTAGTTTAGTTTAGAAATTAAAAAACTTTTCAATTAGTTTAAAAAAAATTATTTTCGGTTGCGGGGGTCAATTACAATCATTTTTGATGAATAGACATACCCCCGAATTCCCGCGCATTTTCGAGAAAAAAATTCAGTACGAGCAGAACTTTAAACTTCAAATAAATTGATATTCTTGATTTTCATCCTATTTTGGCCTCTAGAATCCCCCATTACAATTTTCCCAGTCTTATTTTAGTCAGTTTAGTTTAGTCTTATTTTACTTGTAGAACGCACTGCTGAAGAACGTATATAACATTGATATAACATTGTAATTTTCGATAAACGCATCCTTTGCTCTTTCCGTGTTTCTACCATGGACTGTATCGATTCAATTTCCCTTGCACTTTATTTAACCTTGCTTACGGCAAAAAGGTCGAGTCCTCGATGTCCAAGCATCGGCTCACTTTCCAAACATTAATTTTATTCAACGTCGATGCGTGAAATCGAATTGTCACGGTAATAATCCACGCAGTCGGATCTTATAGGTTGGGAACATTAACCAACAATAAAATCGCGTGAATTTGCGGCCACGAAGGACGGCGGTTTTTCACAGACTTTTTCGACCGTCCTTTGATCGGAATTTGTGTTTATGTGATGGACCTTGGTGCCGTTGGACGCTCCAGCTTCGCGCTCGTTTATTTGGATCAACCGTGGACTCGTTCTTGCGTTTACAGGACCGCCCACTTAACGTTCCCGTGTAATTTTCATTCCACGTACGCGCGCGCGTGTGCGTGGAAAGCAGTGGATTCTAGGTAGAATCGACGAGGAGGCCGCGGTAATTTATTTGCCGACTTTAATGAAGTCAAACGCATCGATAAATTATACAGCATCATTAGCCGGAGCCACGGGTTGAATGGGATTCTGCGAAAAGTGCAGGACGAGTTACTAGTATGTGACACTCTCTAGCAATCCTGACCATCAAACTACAGCAGAGAATTGGCTCTTTAGGCCAATTCGTCCGATTGTTAAGGTAATCTACTCTTGCCAAGAGAAATTTCCTTCTTACGAAAGTACGGTTTAAATCAAGAGTACTTTTTTTAAAGGAAAGTCTGTGACACTCTCTAGCAATCCAAAACTTCGAACTACGTAGGAAGCAAACAGCAGAGAATCGGCTCTTTAGGCTGATTGTTAAGGTAATCTACTCTTGTCAAGAGAAATTGCCTTCTTACGAAAGTACGGTTTAAATCAAGAGTACTTTTTAAAAGAAAATCTGTGACACTCTCTAGCAATCCTAGCCTTTAAATTATTGCTTTAAACGATTGCTAGGGTAATCGTTGTGGCGTCGCCTCCTATGCTCGCCACTAGAGGGACCGGGCTCTCACAAGCGCTCAACCGACTCCTTAGTTGCTATATTTCTCAAACAACTTCCCAATATCCCAGTCATCTAAGACAGGGCCTGCTAGAAAGCCTTACTGATGATGAATAATCAACTCTTTGTCAGGAAAAACACAACTACCTTCTTACGAAACTACATTTTAAATCAAAAGTAGTTTTTGAAAGAAAAATAAGAACACTAAATTTTTAGTACTTCTAAATATATTGTGAAGCAGTATCATTATTCTTATTTAAGAATCGTCCAGCGCCAATTAACTGTACACTGCACCGCGCAGTTACGGTGAATTGTATTTACGATCTTTGTATCCCATGCGTTAGTATTACAGCGAGATTAAATTATCTACAGCGATAAAATTTTAATTTTACGAGACGATTTTATCAAACTTGGTGCAATATTTTATTCAATTTCTGAATCTATTTTAACGCAATATACGCGGGAGACTGTAATCGCAGTTTTATACGTGCCAATCCTTGTCAGCGGGAGACTATAATCTCAATTACACAGACTTATGGCGGACGGCGGGAAACCGTAATCAAAGTCACGTGTACTTTTTTACGCGAAACGGCACGCTTGCTGCAATCTTGTAGTAAAGATATGTACTATTATTCTTGTTAAAATTTTTGACAATTCAGTGACGCTTTTTAACGTCAAAGTGAACTTCAGTTTCAGTTTTATTCACCTTTCCTTTAATTATCCATGATAAACTGTACTCTCTTCAATACATACCGTGTATGCAATCAATTAAATCTAAAGAAACGTAAATATAAAATATTTATTCACACGGTTGGTAGATACTGGGCTTAATTAAGACACATTAGTCACCCCACAGCCACGTGATAGAAATCTGACGCATTTTGCACCTATTCAGACACTCATTTCCGCTTCGACTTTCGAAAGACTTACGCAAATATTAATTAGAAAAAATATCGTTCCCATTCAATTTCATATTGACGATTTGTGATTTCGATGTTACAGTTTGTATACCTATATTTACTCTTAAAAATAGAACTAGCCTAAATACAAGGATGTTAAAAAACACCTTCTGATCGAAATAGATATGCATAAAATCGCGATAAAAATAATGTTAATATTGATGTTTACAACAGTATACAAATACAGCTAGGAAGTCTTCATACATATGTTTTCGTTGTAATACTATAATTAATCTATTGACGGAACCTATGCTTAGCCTAAATATATAAAAAAATAAAATTAACATTGTTTTGTCAAAACAGAACCTGACCATGAACGTGGACCATCAGAAATGTTTCTTCAATTTAGCCTCGCTACTCTTATGGCTAATCCTGAGTAAGAGTTTAGGACTCTGAAGATGATAAAGTAATATTGAAACTGGGTAACGAACCAGACAAGTCACGAGTAACGAGGATTAACGCGTTCAGCATGAATGACAGAAGTATCACAAACGGTCGGTCGAGACTGGTATTTACAATAATTTACGTTACCCGCGTCGTATTGCCAGCAACACTCGCCGCGTATGCATATAGGCCACGTAAGGCACACCTGCACCTAGAATGCAATTTGTTTCCTTGATATGGTGGTCGTGTCCGCTTTGTTGGTCACCATCGCGCAACCACGGTACTCGGTATCAAATCTTTTTCGGTGGACGGTTTGTACGACTGGTTCCAAAATGGACGAGAATTACGAAAATGAAATGATCGTCCTTTGGTATCTTGGAACGATCACAGCATCGAAAAGATCTCACTATTTTGGCAGCAAAATCGAGAGGAAAGCGCTACTGATCTTAATCACCCCTCAATTTGAAGTCCCACTCAAAAGGGTTATACTTATACAAATTTCGCCATATTTCCATGTGTTAAATTGTAACATCTTGTTTACGATAAAAATAAACTATTTTCTCCAGATCTATATATTACTTTTCCAGCTTTTATTATTTCCTAGCATTGTTTTCGTTATATCATCAAAATTATTTAAATTCTTATTCAAAATCATAGTGTTCTTATAGAAAAGATCTGGCGGGATGTACATATGAAAAGTACCCCCAAACGGATTAGCTTGATTTTTGGCTAGATATTACTTCTAGATATGTATATAACTTACCCTAATTTTTAACCCAAAATATGCATTAATTTTTAAGTTATTTAACAAAATATTTTTCAATTGAAAAACTACCTGTCCAATAAATTCTGAAAAAAATATATGTTGCACATATCTACATCTATCGTCCATCTAAAAAACAATTATTTCCTTTATTTTTTTCCCACTCTATGTTCAACTTACGAATCACGGTTAATTTTAAAAATCGTTACTGTACGTCGAAGGCAAAGAGCGTAACTCGTTTGAATCGTGTCGGTTGGTTGGAAAAATAGAATTTTGGCCGGGTTTCGTGGTTTTGAAACACTGTGCGCCGCAGGGGTCGTCGACCG